CCCTCCAGCCATATTCAGTCTTCCGGTATAAAACTAGAACAAAATGCAAGCAACCGCTTTAAACTCAGACTCTCAAAGTCTTCTCCCCGGGTCATCATACCAATGCCAAGCCACCTCCCCACTCTGGCTCTTTCAGCCCTGTGAGTACCTGCCATGGCCTGCAGCTCCCACTCCCAAATAGCCTGAGCTGGCAGGAGCTCCTCTTCCTACAGAATTCAGGGCTGCATTGCCCACTCTGCCTCGGAGACCCAGGCTTATATCCCCTGGGTTCCTCTCCTTCTGGTCAGGTGCTCCCCTGACCAGCTGCAGGTGTGTCCCCTTAACCCCCAGAGCAGCTTACTGCCATTTCCCTGGCCAAACTGCAGTAGCGTCCTGGCTGTCTAACCAGGGCACTGCCCAACTGTCCTATTGCTAGGCAGCTAGCCCCACGATAGGCACTTGTGGCCTATGAGCCCCTCGCTGCCTTCTCCACTGCAGCTAGCCCAGAATCACTCTTCCCCTATATGGGGACACACTGCTACAGCTTCTCTCCTGAATTAACAGGAGCTTCTCGCTCCCTGTTACAGTCCTGTGGTCAGAAGTACCATGCAGCCAGCTTGGGTGCCTGCACACTGCACTATAGTTTGTGGACACATTTTGTTCTTTCTTTCTTTTGAGTCTGCGGGAGCATTCTACGTGGAACAGTGCAGCATGCTGCAGCATCTCGTATATTCAGCGTTCCACGTTTCAAAATGGCACCAAGGGCACTTTTAAATGCTGAATACAAGAGATGCAGTGGGCATTTTAATTTGAGTGGCTCCTGAGAGCCGCTCTAATCAAAACACTGCCCCCTACCTGCCCCTGAGCATGTACATAGTCATCTGAGTTTAACCTGGTATTCCACTCTCTGATTTTTGGTAATTAGTTTCCTTTCCATTTTTTAAATAAAAAAGAAAATACCTACCAAAGAAGTTATGCATGATTGTGCAGTATGTATTGTCCAGAGTTAATTATCTGTTGTTGTGCATATACTGTCCATGTTCCAACATGCTGCTCGCTTTCAGGGCATGTCACGTATGCAGCCTTACCAAATGGAAAATAGGAGTCAGTGGCGACACGTAGGGGGTGCGCGTGCACCCCCTGAGAGCCCTGGTGCACCCCCTGACTGGCCATGCTCACTGCTTAGGCAATGGTGGGGGGCAGGCAGGAGTGCCGGCGCGCCCCCCCGCCCCGCCGCAAGCACCGGCCCATCGCTGCAGCTGCTCGCAGAAGCAGCTGCCACGAGGTCGGCCGTCGCAGCTTCCCCCCCAGGTCGGCAGGACTGGTCACAGGGGGTGCTTCCAGTTGCGCATGCTAGGAGTTGACCAAAGGTGATACATGGTAACATATTAAATGGAAATATTATGATCAAAGTGTCACTTAAACCTCCAGTAGCCCTTGTTCAGTCTCAATGAAATATGTAGTAGTCATCTTTCACAGTTCAGGCACTTGAACAGTTTGATATTTCTAGCTAGCATGGACAGTGGCCTTGAAATGGACCATCCACAATCTCACCCCTAGAAAGAAATAGGTGAAGAGAATTGTGTGTTGCCATGAGGTTATGCAGACTGCCGTTTTTTCCTCTTTCTCCTACGACACAATGTTTTTTTTTTAATCAAGCCTGGTGTTACAAATTGAAATGTTCGGATTAAAAAAATATGTATTGGGTTTACAAAAGAGATGAATGTGTGTGTGCTGTCAGCTCTACTTCAGCACTGTAATGCAATGACATTCAGACCTTCTGTCTAATGCTGTGCCTTTTTTCTCTCCCTGTCTGTTTATTTCCCCTTTTGCAGTGTTACATACTCAAGGTCCCATTGATGGCAGTCTTTATGCTAAAGTGAGAAAAAAGAGCTCTTCAGATACCAGTGTCCCAAGTGGAGTCCAGGGCATCCCAACAATCAGCAGTCCTGATCACAGTGATCATACGCTGTCTGTCAGCAGTGATTCAGGACACTCGACAGCTTCCATCCGGACAGATAAGACTGAGGAGCGTCTTGCATCAGGAACTAAACGGGTTTTGAGCCCACAAGAGAAAGCAGAGCTGGACCAACTCCTTAGTGGCTTTGGCCTGGGAAGCTTGGTCATTCCCCTCAAAGATATGACTGATGCCCAAAGCAAGTACAGTGGGACTCATCACATAGTGCCAGCTCAGATCCACGTGAACGGAGTCTCCAAGCTCAAGGATCGGGAGACCGACATTCTCGATGATGAGATGCCCAATCATGATCTTCACAGTGTAGACAGCATTGGGACTCTGTCCTCCTCTGAGGGGCAGCACTCTGCCCACCTGGGAAACTTCAACTGCCACAAGAGCAGCCAGAATTCACTGTTGTCAGATGGGTTTGGGAGCAATACAGGGGAGGACCACCCCAGTGCCCTGGCCCCTGACCTGGGAATAGGTGTGGACCCCCTGTATGAGAGATCGTTTGGAAGCAGTGAACCAAAGCAATCCCAGCAGCTACAAAGGAATCCTCCTGTCACTGGCCAGCCTCAGGTTTATGGCCGAAGCAGCTACTCAACTCAGACCTGGGTGCGCCAACAGCAAATGGTCACTGCTCACCAGTACAACTACACCCCAGAGAGTGAAATGAGGCTTGGCATTTCTAGCTCTGTAGAGGGCTCAGGCAGTGTGCAAAGCCCACACAGAGTCCCAGACACCCCTGCCCGGGGGTCCAGCAGCAGAGATGCTGTGCAGAGGGGATTAGGGACTGTACCAGGTCCCAGTGGAATGACAGAGCACCCTGGAAATGAGACTTTTAAATCGAGATTAGTAGTAGAGAAAGATACAAATGGTCTGGAGCTGGGCTTGAATGCAGAATGCTTACCATCATCCCCTACACTGGATATTGATCAGTCAATTGAGCAGCTGAACAGGCTGATCTTGGAGCTGGATCCTTCATTTGAACCTATCCCAACCCGCATTAACAGCATCTCCAGGGACACAAGTCAAGTGAACGGTTTCACCAGCCCTACTATGGATGGGGGAATGCTCGGCATGAGTCCTGGGGTCCATGAGAAAATAGAGCTCCCTAACAGGAACTTCTCCTGCCATGGTAAGTTATTTTAATTATGCAAGAGCATAATGGTTTTCCCAGTATTTTTCCTTTTG